ATCGATGATTAAAATTACCACGCAAGTAGACCACGCAAGCTCGCTGGTGAACGATTAGCCGCGTTACTTATCGGCGCGGGGGCAGACAAAGCGATCGTGGCCCGTTTCGCGTGGAAATTAACGGGACGCCGGTTATGCTACCGGTGTGTGTGCACTCGCGTCAGAAAGTAGTGCATAAAACGTAACTCTATACTCCTATATGCAACGACGTTCCATTGGTGCAACAACTCCTACACACCTACACACACAATATCACAATGTGGTGCCGCTTGTAAACACACGTGCGACTACCGGGGGCTGACGCATAAAGCTGCCACAATAATACGTTCTAAAGCGGTAGAACGAATAGACTAGCGTGGGTGGGAGGCAAGATGAAAAAGGAGGGAAGGAGGAGGGAAAAGAAAAATCAACGGAGCAGACGAAGAATATATACGCACACGCCGGGAAATGAAACGAACGATGCACTTTTCCTCGTGTTTATCGTCGAGACGAATTTTCCTGGATTCGCGAGAAGAGGGAATAAGTTGCAGAGGAAGTGTTTTAGTTTTGTTTTAGTTTTTTGGTTCGATTTGGCCGTGGGAAAAGAACCATTCGCATCATTGGAAATTATATAACTTGATTCACATGATTCTTTTGGATTCTCTTTGAACAATGATGATAACGCTCGAATCTTCCGGAGTAATCAGAAAACTTGCACGAGGCTGGCAATGATTCTCCAGATTTTCAATGTCAAGACGATTTCGAAAACTTTCAAAAGGTTTCTTCGAAGACTCAAAAAGACCTATCGAGATTGAAGATTTGCAAATACTTTCGAAGCTCGAGATCCACTCGATATTGTTTTGAAAATTTTCACGACTTGAAAGGATTTTTAAGATTCGACTTATCTTGAGAATAGTTCGAATTATATTCATTCAAGAATTCCAAGCATCGAATCACGTTCAAAGTAACTGTCTGTTTCTCTCCATATAAACTCTCCATAGTTGGAACAAAATTTAGAATTTGTCTAAAGTCTCGTCGTTGACTTCGATTCTCCAAAAATCAATTCTCCTCATTTTTCACGACGAATCGGAGAGGAGAACAGGGGAAAACGAAACGTCGCGTCCCCGAAAATTCACCTAGCAACCGCTCTCTCTTTCTCTCTCTCTCTCTCTCTCTCTCTCTCTCTCTCTC